CAGAGAAGTTTAAAAAATAAAAATATTCTATCATGTGGCTCTATAGTAATTGTCGTCGGGGAAAAGTTCTGACAAAACAATGAATGTCATTCATAAACAATGAATAAATAACCAAACATAAACGAAAAAAGGTATTTTTTTAAATAAAACTAAATTTATTCATTCGTTCATTTTCTCTCTCTCTCTCTCTCTCTCTCTCTCTCTCTCTCTCTCTCTCACACACACACACTCACTTCCTCGCCAGCAAAGCTATTTATTTATGTTTATAAATACAATATTCATCCGTCCAGTTTTAATTATTTGTTGAGAAGATAATTGTAGAGTTCTGATGAAGATCAAATAAAAGATCTTAAGCTTGCCAAAATTATAATAAAAAAATTAAAAAAGGACCACATCCCGGATCTCCATTACATCAACATCTGTTCGAAGTTGGTCGATTGTCATCATCATTACGCTTTTTTTAAACATTTACTAGGTTTCGTCCGCTTGTTCAAATAAGTTCTTTTCAATTAATTAAGGTGTTGGTTGAGATGAAAAAAGGCAAAAAGGAGGGAAAATTCAAAAGGTGGGGTTGAGATGGGAAGTTGGTGTCCCAGTGGATCGATGTCACGATAGCTCAAGTGGTAGAGCAACGGCGTATTTAGCCGAAGGTCGTGGGTTCGAATTCCGCTCGTGACACTGACTTTTTTATCTCCATCAAAACCTTAAATATTTAAAAAGGTATTTTTTAAGTAAAACTATATTCAGAGAGAGAGAGAGAGAGAGAGAGAGAGAGAGAGAGAGAGAGAGAGAGAGAGAGAGAGAGNGATATATATATATATAAACACTCACATTTTTTTCTAAAAATGTTCACTTGTACAAACAAACTCTACCATCTAACGTTTTCTCCTAACATTATCCTGTCATTTATGAGAAATCGTATTTTTTTAGTATTTTATTTTACAGGTCGAATTTAAAGGGACTTGAATTGAACTAATTTCCATTAAATTCCAAACGGGCATGAAACAAGTTTATCCCCCCTCGGCCATTTGAAGGCTTCTTAATCCTTTGAGACAAACGCCTATTATTTCACCGTCGGACCGGTTATCGCAAATTTCACGTTGACCTTAAGTTTCCTTAACGGATGCCGGAATTCCTTGGAGGGGAAGTCCTATCGATGGTCTCATTCTAAAAGAAAAAAACTACACGACCACCCATCGGGGTAATGCTGAAAGGCGTAATTAGAAAAAACCCGTTTTATTTCGAGGAAGTACAAAAATAAAACTAAACTATCTCCTTTGCATGAAAAACGTGGATGTTGCAAGAAACGAAAACAACACACTACTTTTACGTTCGCTTCGAATTTATTTCTATTCGTAATGCCCTATAAAAGCTTACATAAAAAATGTCTAAATTGGCAAGTTGTTTACGGACAGTTAATCTTTACTTGGGCGAGAAATCACCGTCGCATCTGTGTTTTTGTTTAAATTGTAGTAAACAGGCTGAATGAACACTGCTGTGATCTGTTTATATTTAGTTTATTAAAGAGTTTCCAGAAGATATACTAAAGTCGAACTCCGAGCGAAATTTCGTCACTATACCTTGATAAATTTTAACACAAATATGTATTTAGTTAGTTAAAAAAATGATCAAAGTTGTATTCCAAGGACAAACTGCGAAATCAGGAGTTCACAAATGTGTCCAGGATACAATCTTCCTATCAATATTTTTATATAAAAGTAACTAATGATCTTTATTTAGGCAATTTTTAATATTCTTTGAAGGTATGTCATCTTATATACTTATTTGAATACAATATTTATTTGAAAGGCGTTCGAAGGAAAGAGAAACCCGTTGCGGAAGTTATAATCATGAGAATGACATTTTTGGTAATGGTCATATAAATTTTGGTTAACATTTAATCATTTTAATGGAATGGTGTGTAAAAGATTATAAAACTACTAAAAGCTTAGCATTTTAACAACAATCAACACAAATCAAATTATAATATGATTGAAAGTGTGCAATACAAACCAACTATTCAAAAGAATTGTAACAATATTTTATTTATATGTTTTTTGCTTTGATTGTTTTTTATTTTGAAATAAAAAAGAACGGTTAAAGTATGTTTTTTTTGTAGACAGTTTAAACACGTTTATAAATGGACAGCCAGAGTGGGTGTGAAGAACGTAGAATTGGGAAAGTGATGGACAAAGAATGTGCATGAGAGAGAGAGAAAGAAAAAGAGAGAGAGACAGTGAGAGAGAGAGAGAAAGAAGGAGAAAGAGAGAGTGTGAGAGAGATTGAAAGAGTGAGTGAGAGAGAGAGAGAGAGAAAGATAGAAAGAAGAAAAAAGTAAGAGTGTGAGAGAGAGATTGAGAGATGGAGTGACAGAGGGAGTGAATGAGTGAGTGAGAGAGATATATGAAGAGGGAGAAAAAAAGGTGTGAGAGAGAGAGAGATAGAAAGAGAGTGAAAGAAAGAGTGTGAGAGAGAGAGTGAGAGAGAGAGAGATAGAAAGAGGGAGAAAGTAAGAGTGTGAGAGAGATTGAAAGAGTGAGTGAGAGAAAGAGAGAGGGAGTGAATGAGTGAGTGCGAGAGAGATAGAAAGAGGGAGAAAGAAAGTGTGTGATAGAGATAGAAAGAGGGAGAAAGTAAGAGTGTGAGAGAGAGAAAAATAGAAAGAGGGAGAAAGGAAGTGTGTGAGTGAGTGAGTGAGTGTGTGAGTGAGTGTGTGTGTGTGTGTGTGTGTGTGTGTGTGTGTGTGTGTGTGTGTGTGTGTGTGTGTGTGTGTGTGTGTGTGTGTGAGAAAGTGAATGCGTGAGTAAAAATGAGAGAGGATGTCCCACTCTAAAATAGTCTTTTTCGTTATTTATGCTCCTGTCTAATTTGAGCTAACTTGTTTGAGCAATTCTTTAGATTTTTAATTATTAATCCACAACACAAAGAAAATTACCTACATGTTTATTTTTTGACAAATATTAAACCTGCGCAATCAATAATCAAACTTAATTTTGGAAAACTCATTCAGTTTTAGCTAGGTAAATTAGTTCATTTTCAAATAAATTGAGAAAACATCCGTTAAAAGTCAAATGAAACGCTTCGCTATGTGGGAGTTCATTAATTTTTGGACTTTTTGTTCAAAAGCAGAAGTGAATTGTAAAACCTTGTAAAACATCTTTCCTCAAGAATTTAAGATATTCTGTTGAGTGTAAGTCATACTTTATACAAAATGGAAGTGAAATCAATATTGCACAATACGAAACTGGCATAATTCAAGCACCGTAAGTTCTCGGATATTACAACTATTGAGTCGGCAACTGTCATTATTCCTTGGCCTCGCAATCTATAGGGCTTAACTCCCTGAAAATTATCCCCTTTTAGCAAAGGGCATCAAAATGGACCAATTATCATTCAAGTTGTCAATAAATTATTGGGTAAGAAAGAAATTTAATTTTTTATAAAATTTTTAACGTTAATTTTTCTTAAGTTGAATATTTTTAGTAAAATAAAGTTCCTATTAGATAAGAGATCTCTACCAGTTAAGTGAATTATGTAGAAGGGCATTTTGCTTCTGCACACTAAATAAAAAATAAAGACAAAATAAATTCTAACATAAATCCTAATTCTAGTCCAGGTACAATAATTTTACAATTTATTCGGGTTTTCTAAATTACAAAAACATCCCATGGAAGATGAGTGGCTTATTTCCTGTGTAAATTTATTTATTTTAAGAACGTCCTCTTATTAAAATAGCAAGTTAGAGAAAGAAATTAAACGAAATGCGAAGCTAGTTTTACAACCTCATAAATATGTACTTATAAAACGTATAACCTATAAAAAACCTTCTTTTACATACAATATGTAATAAATTAACCTTAATGGGGGGGGGCTAACAGGAATTAATTTATTTTGCAAAAGTATACATTAAATTGAGGTGTCCTTTCATTTATAAGGTTAGAACGTTTCAATCGTTTAATTATTAACTTAGGGGGCATCGGTGGTCGCAACGGTTTAGGCGATGACAAGGCGCTCATCACTGTAAGGTAAAGGTCCAGAGTTCTAATCCAGCGGCCCTGCATTCGAACCCGACATACTTACAAATGGGCTTTTTTTCAAAAACACCGGCACCCTGAGGGTTTATACGACCTCTGTTGTTGCGAACCCTCCTAAAAAAATATTACTATCTTAGCTTTTTGTAGTATATTTAATTGATTGATTTTGATATGTAAATAGATAAAAACAAAAACAAACTTAATATATATGTGAGGAGAATTCACCCAATGATGAAACTCTTCAAAAACAAAAAATTAATGCCTAATTAAGATCAAAATTGTACTTTTTTTACCTCTCTATTTTGTTAGTCAATAATAAGTAAGACCCCACATGGCCATCGGCGTTTTAGTTAACGGGGATATTATTTGGGAAAGAAGGTGAACTGATCTGACGGACTAGAGCATTAGGATGAAAGGCTTGATGGCAGTTTTTGTAACAAACTTTTTGAACAAACCGACAAGAATATTAGTTGGGTTAGATAGGAGAAAAGCAGGGAACTTTTAAAAATACGGTGTGATGTTTATTTTGTTTTGCCTATAACATCGCTTGACATAATTAATTATGCAAAATTTGCATATCTTAATAAGGTAATGGTTATTAATTATTTTCGTCTCCAAAAAACAAGATTAATTAACTTGGTTTTAGAGGAGCTTCTATTTGTACAACTAAGGTTGTTTGATAAATGATACTCTGTTTCTCAATGCTTGACGTTTTTGAGAGATATATTTCTATGTCACAACTAAATATATGTGAATGGTTGAATAACTTTTTGTTTTTATTATGGATTTAAATTTTACGATTCAGTGAGAATTTTTATTAATTTCTTCATTTACCGTAATTGTCCTATTTTGATATAGACCGGAAATTATCAATGATATCGACAGTTTACGAGCGAAAGCTGTGTTGCCAACCTATTTTCCCCTTCATATTTTGTTAGCCGAGTTTTATTAAAAATATCCTTTTACCTTGACCAGATGTAATACATTTCCTGCGGCAGACCGGAGATCAATAGGAGCAGGTCTGACACCGCTAAAGAAAAAAGGTAGTAGTTGGTCGCCGTGTGCATGTGCCTGTTCCTGGCGATGACGATGCACGTGCTGACATTCCCTACGACTCCGGTAACGAAGATGAAGGAATAAAGTATTGTCATTGGTATGACAATGTAGAGAGGATCTCGTTTAGGCAGCGGAGCTATCAGCGTGCTGTTGTAGACCTCCTCCGACATAATTTCCATCCTGGAATTAAAAGCGGTTTTAGATCAAAGCATTTTAAAAAAGAAGAGAACAAATGAAAAAATGTTTCCTGGGACGCTTTTGTCCCAGGGGTTATAAACAGTTGAACTGTTAGCTTCATTCCTCGTACCAATCACATTCCTTTTCTATCTCACCCTTATCATCGACTGCTGAATTTAGATAGAAGTCCTATTGTTCGCCCATTTTATTTCAACCCTCACGATTCCTCGAACCATCTCATATTTCGCCGTCACTTCTTTCCTCTTTAACACAACTACATTTTCTTCCAGATCTTTCTCTCACTCCTACCAATTTATTTATTCCATGTGTTGATCTAGCAGAATCTCAGTGAAAAATTGTCGTTCTTCCTAGGATTCGTCTCTTCAGAGTGCGAAACGTACTGTTTGTAAGGGATAATAAATTACAAATTGATATTACTATCGTCGTTTTGTTTTTAACGCTCTCGTGCCAATAGATAATTGCCGTTTTGAAACTGAAGGTAACGGGAGAGACGAGAAAAATATTACAATAATATTACACATTAGTTTTTCAACCTCGTTCTCCGTAAACCGTGCATTTGTTTAGATACATATTCTACATATATAGATACATATGTAGTTATGTACATACATCTATAGCATGAAACTTATATCTTATATGTATNTATATATATATATTATATATTCTACATAATCAATATGGAGAAAAAAATCAATATTTTGGAAAATTGTATATTTGTCTGATATAAAGTAGACTAATCGTAGTCATTACTATATCTACTATTCAAATTTATAGGCATTCGAATATTACAGATGCACTACACACAAAAAATTATATATTTATATAAAATATTTCCTCTCTTCCTACCAATCTTATCTATCTCTCTTAGTTCGCCTCTCACCAATCTCTCTCTCTTGAGAGATTATGTAAATAAAGCGATATCTCTCTCTCTCTCTCTCTCTCTCTCTCTCTCTCGCTCTCTCTCTCTCTCTCTCGCTCTCGCTCTTTATCACCCTCTATCAATCTATCTATCTTATGGCCCATCCATTCTTGCATCTCTCTTTCCCTTTTTAACTCTCTCACTTTCTCATTTTTCTCTCACTCTCTTTATCTCCCACTCTCTCTATCTATGTATGTATCTCTCTGTCTATCTATCTATCAACCTATCAACTATCTAACTACCTATATATCGATCATCTATCTATCTACCTATCTATTTTTCTATCTATGTATGTATTTTTCAATTTTTCTCTATCTTTCTCTATCCATCTATCTATCTCCTTCTTTGCAATATTTTTATACCTTACCTCTTTCTCTATCTATCATTATCTTTCCCATCTTTTCCCCTTCACAAGTTTTGTCTTTGTTGTTTTGTTTATCCCACTTTTCCTGCCTAGCATACGCATCCAAATAATTTTCAGTCTCACCCATCCTCTATTTCAACCATCTTAAAACTTTATCTTTTCGTTCTTTGTTTGTATTTATATTGATGTGATCCGAAATAAATAATGATTAGACATCGGTCAATTGTCAATGTCTCAAATGTCACTTTGAAACATAAACCAGAATGGTTGGAGAATGAGATAAATTGATTTCGGAGTTAAACAAAATCGTCCTCGATTGTTCGCATTTAACTGGTAGCATTTGAACACACTGACTATTCATTCAATTCCCAATTGATCTCTCAATAAAAACATTTTTCGGGTGTTTAAAATTGTTTAATCATCTCCACACTTTTCAAACTGGTTCTTCGACAAATAGAAGAACTGGTTTTTATGAAGTATTGTCAAGTTCCGAACCATAGAAAACTAGTTTCAACAATTATGCTTTTATAATGTATCAATGATTTCGCGCAAACCCTCAACTTTTTATGACCCAATTAATGAAAGTGCATGCACGAACTTGGTACTTGTTTTGTAATACGCCTTAAATTACATACCTTATATTTAATATGAGCGAGGTGAACTTACAATATTTTTGCCTTTTTACCCTTCGGAAACCGATTTAAATAATATAGGTTTTTGAAATGTTCCAATATCTCTTCCAAACATAAATAAATAAATATGACTCTCGCAAAGCATTTTTTTTACGAAATTGAAAACCTCAAAAACATACAGATGAATAAACATATAAATGACACTCTCCTGAATCGTTATACTTTCCAGGATGATATGGAAAATATATCATTAAACTTTTTTAAAATCTCAATCAGAAATAGATTAAAGTCGGTAACAAAAATCTGACACCCTTTCTCGATATTTGAATACAAGAGGTAAAAATTAATCTCCCACGTTTACCGTTCATTGGACGACATTGAAATTTACAATATATTTACAATATCAATATCACATCACACACGTAATTGAAAAGACTTTTAGATGTTAATCATGCACAATTTCATAAATTCGGTATTCACATTTTTTAACAGTCGGAGGCGAATTCTGGCCAAATATTTTATTACAATTTATCTTTATCATTGTTACAATTTCTTTAATCTGTCTTAAAAACCCGGCCGATTGATAATTTTTTTATATATTTTTGCCTTTCCATCAAAGTCTAAAGTAAATATTGTATTTATATTTTTCGTTCACTTTTAATGTATTTAAACATACATTGGTAAAATAGCTGTTATGCTTCTAGGCCAAGTTTTATTTTATATAAAATGAACCCACAATGATACAAAAAGCTACTACTCTTATTTAAAGATTGGTGCTCCGAATTATGGCAACACTTTTACATCGAATGGATGGGTTTTATTGTGCGTTTTCTGAAAAATCATAGATACTACTATCATTTTGTGACATTTTTTACTTCGATGCCGAGGGCACTCTCAACACGACACATAAGAATGACACATCTACACGGAAAACAAACACTTTGAGCCCTAAAGATGATCTCGATAAAGATCGAAACGTTGGCATGATAAAGAATATGTTTTTCTAAAACTTACATCACACCAGACCGCACGTCACGACCTCCAAATAGTTATTTTTAACGTTTCCCTAATGATACATAAAAGCTGCCGTACAAATTGTACGTTACATTGGAAATTCATAAAAAGTAAAAATAATAATGCATATATGAAAACATTTTGAGTAGTATGTCATTACAAAAATTAAATATTGTCCTTATGCTTTATTTTCATTTATTTATTATTTTAACGCAAATTATTTGAATCAAACTGTAAGTTGATCGCAATGTTACCCACGTACAACCCTTATGACACATGCTATTTATACAATACCGTTTCAACCGCCTAATGGTCACAACGTTTGTCAAAAGTCAAATAGGTTCATTTGCAGGGCAAGCAAAACAACAAGAAACTGACTAGGAAGCTGGTGACTCAACCAAATGAAATTTGTAAATTAGCGAAGTTCAAGAAGGACTTTTCTGTTTGGAATTATGGCCGAAGGATGTCAGATTTGTCCAGAGCAAGAATAAAACCGAACTTGATTTATTTCGGAGAATTCTTGAGAAGTTGTTCCGCTCGGTGATTTCATATTAACCTTTGCTCCATCTTTCATTCTAAACCCATCATCCTCTACCCAGATCTAAAGGATTTGGTACGAAGCTCCACCATTACTTCCACCCTCATTTCCGTACTTTTCCTTTAATTTCCGACCTTTTGTCCAGTTTCAATCTTCCAAAACTCCAAACTTCATAAAATGATGTTGGGAAGAATAAAACCCGCTAGAAAAACCATTAAATAAAATCCTTCTCATGACGTATTTCGTTTCAGAAAATAGACATGAAAAAATTGGGTATAAAAGTAGCTACGACAACTTGAAATAAATTCAGAAATCTCAAGCATAGCGTTCACGATAACCTGAGAATAAAAATATTGGATAAACTGTCGGGAAACTCAAAGATAACTGCGACCACACTACATAATGCAAAGATAACAACGAACAATCGAAATCTATAACATAATACTGTACAGACCAAACAACTTTAAACACATATAACCTTCCGAAAGAATATACAATAAAATACTAAAGGAACCAGTCAAATATTTAACAAATTTTTAATTTAACAGTTAACAATTTTTGATTAAAAAGCCTCATAAACCACTATAACTTTAGAAAGTTATTTCGTTTAACTGTAAAAATTAAAACTTTAATTATAACAAAACTCTAACTTGACAATTCTAACAAATAATACTGACCAAAATAAAGCAATCACACCTCGTTTTTTAACAGGCGGACAGATTATCATGAATGATAACTTAGCAGAAAAAAGTTATAAGAGAAAGTCGACATCACACTTTCTTTTACAGACAGACAGCTAAATAAATGTTATTGAAAATGATTAAAATAATATCTTTCAATTAATTAATCTGTATTTTAAGTATTGGTTAAGATAAAAAAGTCAGTGTCACAAGCGGGATTCGAACCCGACCTCCGGCTAAATACGCCGCTGCTCTACCACTTGAGCTATCGTGATCCACGCGGACACTAACTTCCCATCTCAACCCCACCTTTTTGAATTTTATTTAGCGGCGTCTTTAGCCAAAGGTCGTGGGTTCGAACCCCGCTGGTGACACTGACTTTTTTATCAATACCTTAAATACAAATTAATTAATTGAAAGATATTGTTTGGTCGAGCGGACCACGAAAACGAGGGATAAAATTAATGTTTAAACGTATAAATTATCAACAGAAACTAATAAAACAGGTCTAGTTGAAAAATACAGAGAGAAAAAGCAACTAGGATGTGGGTAGAAACGGACTGTTGTTAAAAGACTTTAGACAATGCAATAAATAAATGTAATTATTATTAATCGTTAAAGGAATAAAAAAATAATACTGTTCTGATTTTTGACAGATGGGCAATTGATCATTTTTGTGTAAAACAGTGCGTATTTGGTTGAAAACTTGATTGGCGAATGAACCATAACCTGTGTTTGCGGCTGGCGACAAGCTTACATGTCACTGAATCGAATTAACATTGAAACATTTCAAAGGAAACTTCATCCAATTCACCTGAGTACAGGATAAAAGGCA